TGGATTTGTTTGCTTTTTTTTTTTCTTTCTTTTCTTTGGTGAACCTATGACATATCTGCCTGCACCAGTTATCTAGTGGTAGAATAGTACCCTGCCTATGACATATCTTCCTTTGTTCTTTTTTGCTGGCTAGATTGAACTGGACTGCGTGGCACAAGCTAAGATTCATGGTTGAATTGTTCTAAAAGTTCATGGTCAAAATTCTTAAGCAGTAGACTTTGTTTCTGTGTTGGTAATTCAAGTTCTCTTGAAAATTTGACTCTCTACTTTAGTAGCTAAGCTTTTTCGAAGAAGTGCCAAGATTCTTGATCTTTATTTGCTAAAACAATATCACTTGGTTCTTTGCTGCATGTCGCTTGGTTTCAATAACTCTACCTGTCTTTTAGTTAGATCAGTACATATTCTATTGGTGAGATTAATCACAAATTTTCTGCACTTGCTCCTCTGATATCAAGTTACTACAGCTTTTCCCACATTTGAAGTGTTATCTTTTGACTATTTGAAATTTTTAGAGAGCACTGGAGGAAAAGAAATCATTTCAAGCTGAGGCAAGGAATGCTGAAAGAGCAGCAATGCAGTCTTTTCAAAATAAAACTTCCATTCTTGAGGTTTACACAAAGGTACTTCACATGCAAAATGCTATATTACTTTCCTATCTTGTAATAACTAACAAGTACTATGTACTAGTATCTTCGCTTCACTAGAAGAAATCAAGCGTCCATTTGCTTTCATACTCATAATATATAATCTTTTATTTTTGACCTGTTTGAGTTTGTTTGAACTTTGATTTCTGATCAATTAATAACAATATAGATAGAATCTTAACTCCTTGATTCTACGTTACTGGTTTTAAGTAGAACAGAAAAATCTTTGACAAGAAAACTTGCAGAACTTTTTTGTACTAACCTCTTATTCGAGTGGTTTACTCCTTGCATGAGTGCCTCATGAGTCATGACATCTCCTTTTGCACGAATGTGCTACTTGGCCAGGAAGAAACAGCCTATTTGGCCAAATCACCCTTTTCTACATTGCACGAGTAAAAAGCCACAAAGTGTTTAGTTATGCGTCCAATTGACTGGATAATTGTTTACTAGATCTTAGCAGCTTATTATACAAGGTAAGAATATTTGATTGGCATGTGTGGACAGTTTGCTGCTGGACATGTTGTAAGCTATTTCTTGAGAAGGGAAAATAGAAAATTGCAAAAGAAAGAATTTGAGTGAATGTATCGTCTGCATTCAAATTTTCTCATTCTGAAGAAGAGTTGGCTGGGATGATTATAACTAATATATGACATGTACGCTTGCATGTAAAAACTGTTACCTTCATACCAGATGCAATGAAATTGTTATGATGTACAACTTTGAGTGGAAATGTTTGGTGACATTCACTCTCATTTTGCTTTTATTTGTTTTTTATTATTGTTAAATCTTGTCTTTTCAATATCAGGCTCACCAAAAAATGTCCAAGCACTTCAATCAGATGCAGGCTATACAGGAGCAGGTTATCATTTTCTGCTGTATTTGCATGTCTTGTTTTGAGATAAAGTTTTTCTTAGCTCTTTTGTTTGATTAGTAATATTTCATAGCTCTTCTGCATTTTTCAGAGGATACCTCTTAATTTTCCATTATAAATTATTTTATTTGAATGCATTTACTATTGTATGTTGGATTCAATCTTAGTTCATCTTGCTGTTATTCCTACTTGTTGCAATTACCTTTTCTTTTTCAGTCGTTCTCTAGTCGTTCTCTAGCCGAGGGTCTGTTGGAAACAACCTCTCTGCCCTTCCAGGGGTATGTGTAAGGTTGCGTAAATCTTACCCTCCCCAGACCCCACTTGTGGGAAACTACTGGGTTTGTTGTTGTTGTTGTTGTTGTTGTTGTTATTGTTGTTGTTGTTGCATTTACTATTGTATGGAAACAAGTGAAATATTTATTCAGTAGAATAAGGAAAAGGAATAATTTATGAATAGCTAACATGTGTATAATGGGGCTGAGAAATATATGTGAATTATTTCTTTGTTTAAGTCCATGTATGAAAACTTGAACTAAATCCTTGTGCATTCTGATATAAGATGTCAAATATTCTGAATTCCGTTGATGACATGGAACTGTTCGAATTTCACATCAACATATGCCACTTAATTTCTTCTTTTGGTTGTATATTGTTTTCCTTTTTTTTAAAAAGAAAAAGAAGGAAAAAACAACGAAGTCTAAGAATGATTACGGTGAAATTTAAAGTTGTGAGAGTCACTCGCTATAGACCATTATTGTCTAGAGTTCTACCCTATTTTTGTCCTTGATAGTCATCATTCTAAGCAAAGCAGTCATGAATCCCTTTACATTTTGCCAAAATAATATGAATGATACTGACAGGTTAATTCAACTAAATCTATTGAGAAAGATATTAAGGTTCTCAAACAAAAGCTGAGTGATGAGGAAGTACTGGACAAATCCCTTGAAGCTAAACTAGTTGAAAGGCAAGGAAAAGGTAAGCGTACTTTTAGCTGTTTTATTACTTTCATCTGTAATTTCCTCTTACCTCCAACACTAAATACATATCTTATCCAGCGGACCAATTGGAAGAATTAAGAAAGCAATTAAAGAAAGAAAGAGATCTTAGTTGTGAGGAGGCTGCCAAAGAAATGAAATTTTTTAATTTGGAAATGGAATCAAAGAGGCATGGTCTTGAAGCAAGGCAAAAAGAGGTGGAAGGTGTGCTTGCAGAGGTACTGTTATCATGTCTTTATTTGCTAAAACAGTATATCTTGTTCGGGTTTGCTCCATACTTAAATACCACCTTTTTCATTAGGCGGATGCAGTAACTGCAAAAATTAATTCAGTAAGGGAGTCTGGAGCATCTNGGTCAATGATAGATACACTATAAGCAGATCACAGGAAGAGGAACTTAGCTAATGTGCTTGTTTAGTTGGGAAGAGTTGGACTTCTGACCCAAACCCTACTTCTCTATGCTTTTTTTTTGATAAATTAACGTATTTTATTAATAAATAGTACCAAGGAGGTACTATAGAAGTACAACAGAGAGCATCAAGTTCGTCTACATAGTTACAGCATCATTGCATCAAGAAATTCCAAAAGAAAGGCTGGGTTGTCAAACATATTAAACCTATAACTTGAATACAAAGATTCTAGATATCTATACTTTACAAAAGAAGAGTGTTGTATCCTTCCTTTGAAATATCTACTAATTTCTTTCCAACCATATAATCCCCGTGATGCATAATGGCATAGTCTTCCATATTTGCCTTCTACTTTTCTCAATCTTTTGACCCTGCCAGCAAGATATAGACTTCTCACATCCTGGGGCATCACCCAAAGAACTCCAAAGATATATAAGAATGAGGGACCAATTCTGCCAAGTGAATTTGCAATGAAAAAGGAGATGATTGCTGGTTTCAATTGCATCTTCACATAAAATACACCTGTTGCAGAGAGAACAGCCTCTTCTCTGTAATGCAACTTGAGTTACGCAAGCATCTTTTGCTGCTACCCAACCAAAGCAAGCTTCTTTAGGCGCTTCCTTTGTTCTCCATAACATCTTTCAAGGCCAATTATTCTCCCAGTTTTTTTGTCCTGAAATCTTACAACATTGAAGTCTCCTCCAATTGCTCATGGAAGTTCTGCCAGATCACTGGTTTCTGCCAACTCTTGCCACGATTCTTTCTTCCTCTTTCCTGTTACAAGGCCCATAAACTCCGGAAAGATACAACTAAAACCTGTGTTTGATTCTTTCAGAAATACTGTTACAGAGTGGAGCCCAAATAATTTTTCTTTGCAATTCCATCTTTTATCCCAAAACACAATGATTCCTCCACTACTTCCTTGTGCATCCATTACTGCCCATTCCACCCACCTGCTGCCCCAAGTTGTCGAATGAAGGAGAGATTTGAAGAGCAGACTTTGTTTCCAGTAGATACAATATATATATATATATATATATATATATATATATATTCACCATATTTCTTTTTTCTTTGTCGTTTAGTCCCCTCACATTCCAACCAACTATTTTTAGTTTCATTTGGCAGCCACAATTACTTTCCTTCTTTCAGTTCCCTCTTTACCTTTCTTTTTAGGAGAAGCACTTTTTTGAAGATGGGCTTAGTACATTGATTCTTCTCTTTCCGATTCTCAACAGTGGATCCAACAGTTTTCTTTGTCTATGCTGTATTTGTGTTATCTTTTTTTTTTTTTAATAGTTATTTGGTTTGCATTGCTACACTACAATGTTCTCATTGCTAACTTAGAACGCAAATATAGCTTATGTGTTTTTTGCCACGACATTAGATATTAAAAAAGCAATAGAACTGCATTTTAGTGTCTTCTTGATCATGTGTGATTGATTAATCTTGTTCTTATGTCAGTTTTATCGGCACTCAAGCTCAACCTTAGACTTGCTACCGCAAACTGAAGTGGACCAGGCAGTTGTTGATAAAAGGAGCTGATATTTTATTCTGTCATTTTTATGTAGAGTAGAGCCGTTCTACAGTAACAGATTGGAGTGTCCATATCCTTTTCCTTTTTCTCCCGTAGGAAAGAGCGTGAAAAACCTTCATGATTCAGATGATGATATTATGATCTGCAACATTTAAGCATTGAAATGCATGGGTTGGAGTGTCCATATCCTTCTCCTACGCCTTTAAGACGGACTAGTTTGAGCAAAACTTACGTAGATCCAGCTACTTCTTTATTCAAATCATATATATAAGTGTGATAAGTTAATAATCGCATAGATATACTGGAGTATCTAAATTATAAATGGTATTTCTTTGATTCACCGACTTTAGACCCTAAATCCATCTTTTACCACTTCAATATATATTCTACGTTGCAGAAAAAGAAAAACAAATGGCCTTCAATGCCGTTCATGGATAACTAGCTGTGATTTTGCTCCTTAAAATAACCAAAGCTTATTGATAACTTAATTAGGAATTAGGGCGCCCAGTAAAATAAGTACATGCTACACATGAAGGGGAAAAAAGAACTTTACTACTAAGCTGACATTTTCATTCACGTGACTTTACAAGTACATAAACTTGACAACAAATAAAGCTTAAAACCGAGAACTCGTGCAGATAGATCTCAAAAGGTAACTTCATTAACAATTCCTTGGAATTTTCTCTCCAAAACTTCTGAACAAATCTGTCCCATCATATGGTAAAATGACTTGAGATCAGATAGTTGCTCCATTGACATTTTCCCCATTACTTTCCTCGCCAATGCCTCTTTTTCTTCATTCATCTTCAGTTTCTCCAAATAGGATGATGCATTCCTTACTGTTGCTCCCATTTGCATTAACCTTGCCTCTTGTGCCAAACTCAATGCTGTATTAGACTGCAAAATTGACATAATCAAGTTTTATTATACAGGTGAATTTATGTGATAGAGTCAGTAAGTTTAGTTGAACCCACAAAATCCGTCCTAAATCTGCCGTTAGTAGTGCATAACTTTGTATAAATGTGGTGTAAAGCTGCTGAGAATCATGTCCTACCTCAAGGAATTCTGCTCCTGCATCTAAGTCTGCAGTTTTAGATGGCTGCATTGTTCGACCTTTTTCATATATATCTCTAGCAAGGGAAAAACTTCTGACTATAATTTTCCTCTTTTTCTCCATTTCTTGATTAAGCTTCAACGGTTTTTGTATTCTGATTGAGCTGTTAATTAACTTCTTTTGATAAGCAACTACAGCCTTCACAAACTCCTGCCAAAATAACATTCAACATAGGGTAAGAAAAAGATAACAAGAAGTAGTACAATATAGTGCTATACTATATATATATATATATACATGTGACAATTTCTTGTTACCTGATAAGCAAATGTACATCCAGGATAATCAAATTCATCAGTATCGGATTGCCTCATTCGTTCAGGATGAAATTGAAGTCCCATAATAAACTTACCTTCTGTAGGATTATAAGCATCTGGATCATAAAATCCTTCTATTAAACCATCAGGTGCAAATGCCATAGGAACAAACCTCTGAGCCAATTTTTTAACTCCTTGGTGGTGATAACTATTGACTGAAATTTCCATTTTTTCATCTTCTAAAGAATCCTCAAACCAGTGGTGCAACGGCGTTTTCGCGACGACGTTGATCACATGCCTATGACCATCGTAATTATCATAATCCATGTGACTTACCCTCTGATTTTCAGGTAGGTTTATTGATATTTCTTTGCCAATATCTTGTAAAAGGGTGCCCCCACATGCAACATTTAGTACTTGTGAACCTCTGCATATACCTAAATAAGGTATGTTCCTTTCTAGACAAAGCTTAGCTAATCTGAGTTCAATTGTGTCTTTTTCTTTGTCAATTGCAGTATCACTAGCGTGTAATCTCCTGATTTCTTCCAATTCTTCAGGGGAAAGATCAGAGAGTTCATCATTGTATAGAGAAGGGTCTATGTCTTCTCCTTCACAGAGAAGAACACCGTGAATTGGTTCAAAACTGTCTAATAACATATGGACCCCTGAAACACGTGGTACAATCACGGGTACAGCTCCATAACTTACTATAAGATCAAGATGATATTCTCCTGAAAATAACACAATGAAAATCCAACAATTTTTTTTAAGAACTTTTTTCCATTTAAATGTGAAAAAATGAAGAGAGACAAGACGAAGAAGTAACGTACCAACAAAATCGACGAACTTGTTTTTGCGAACGGTACGTCTAGAGACGATGAGGACACGAGGTAGAACTACTGAGAGATTGGCAGCCATGGCAGCACTATAATTTTTATAGTCTTTTTGTTAATTTGCAAATACTAATTATCTAAGTTGTAAAAACAAAAGAAGATTAAGGGGGATAATATATAGAGTTTGAAATTATAATTAGATAAAGCAGCTATTTAGGGGGCGAGAAATGAGAAACACAGAGTTGAATTAGTGAACGGTTAAGAGGAAAAAGAGAGAAAAGTGTGGGGCTTTTATAAGGAGATCGCCGCGTAATTGCGAATGTAGCTATTAATAGTTGTGTCTAAGGTGACTAGGAGAGAGTACAAGATTTGATCCAATAATAAACAACTTTTGAGGATTTGTTAAATAATTAATGTTGGATAACACGTGGATAAATGCACATTAATGGAGGCTTTTCTAAGACGGGTCAACGCTGAGAAATTGCTGATGTGGATCTGCCTATATTCGGATAACCTTTCTACTCAATATAGGCAAAATAAATCAAGAGAAGAGAGAGCTAATCTCTGTCACTTTTATGAATGAATGAAAATTACCTTGTGCAGCTTTGTATATTTCGAAAGTATACATATGTTTACACTAATTAAAGGATTAAATTTTAAGGGGTCATTTGATTACCAGGTGATACATTGCTTAAAGTATATATATTTATATGTATATCGCTTCATATTTTACTCGTGTTTCGTGGATTTCAGATGTAAAATGTATTGATTTATGTTAGTTTGTGGTATTTTTATATGTAGGAATCACCCGGAGGCAATAGAGGGCAAAAGGTGCGAGATTAGAGCCAAAAGGAGAAAAAAATGAAAAAGGTGGATTTCCAGCGCCACAGGCAACGCCCCACGCTACCTGTGGCGCAGTTTACAGAATGTTCAAAGGGCCAGCGCCAGGGCTAGCGTCCTACGCTGTCCTGGGTGCTGGTGACGGGAATTTCTCCAACTTTTTCCGGGACAAGGTTATTTCGTCCTAAGACCTACTAAACGCGTATAAAAGCAAGACTAAGCCTATTTTGAGGGGGGATACGTCACTTTGAAGAAAACATACCCACGAGGAACATCCGGGAGCGAGGATATCTCAGTTTTCTTCATCTTTTCTTAGTATTTTCAATTATCCAATATTATAAAATTGTTTGATATTATCATGAGTGGCTAAAATCCATAATTCTGGGGTTGTGATTTAGCCATGAATATTATTGTTTAACGTTGACTTAACTTTATTAAAATTTACCAATATGTGATTGTTTCTTTAATTCTGTGATTAATTGCTTAATTGTCTGGCAAACAGTTAGAATCTATTTACTATCTATGCTATGCTTGGGAAAGCCATGTTTAGATTAGAGAAGAATTGAAAAGAGCGTGATCTTAACTCTAGGGGAGGAGGATTTGTGGTTATGATAGGAATATACCTAGGCATCGTGCTTAATTAAATATCGTAATCTTAATGCGTTCTTAATAGATTAATTTCATAGGAATATAGACGTTAATCTATTTTGAATATGCGAGTAGTACTTCGGGAGAAGGCTACGAGAGCAATTGTTCAATTAATAAGCAACCATGAGTGAATTGTATGAAAGAGAGAGTTAACTAGAACACAAAAGGATTGGTGAATCGATCACAACCCTGGAATATTCGGCTCTACTGAATACACAACAACCATTGCTGCTTGATAATTTAGTTACTAGATAGAATTATTGTTTAGTATAATCACAATTTTGAACTCGGATTGACTCGACTGAATAACAATCTTGGTGAATTTAGTAGGTAGTTAATGCAAGTCTCTATGGGTTCGATACTCGACTTGTCATTTTATTACTTGTACGACCACATATACTTACATGTGCATCTGGGAGCAACAAGTTTTTGGCACCGTTGTCGGGGACTTGAATATTGACTGCTTTCTAGTTTTAGCTTTAATTGTTTATTTCGTCAAGTCTAATGTTACTTAATTGTTGCTCTGCTCTCAGGAACCTTGATTGAATGCGAAGGGTCAGAACCTGAGAGAATATTTCACAGGAGGTTGAGGGAAGCAAGGGACACAAATAATCTTCAAGCACTTGTTCAATTTCCTGTGGATATGGCAGAGGAGCAATATATGGATGTTCAGGAGGTGGCGATGCCCATCATTGTTTATGTCACCACCAACATTGTGAAGCCCAGAATCACTGGGCACTTGAGCTGAAACAGAGCATGATCCAGCTACTATATGCGAATGGGCAATTTACGGGTCTTCCACACGAGGATCCACAACAACACATCCTGAACTTCTTGGAGATTAGTGATACTTATATCACTAACAGAGTCACTCAAGACTATGTGAGGCTTACATTGTTCCCGTTTTCTCGGTTGGGCGAAGCAAAGCGATGGTTGAAGGTAGAACCAACTAATTCTATTATATCATGGAATGATCTGGCGAGGAAATTTTGGCAAGGTTCTTCCCTTCAGGCAAAACTGTAAAGATCAGAAGTGAGATATTCACCTTCAAACATAAATCGGAGGAGTCCTTATACTCAGCTTGGGAAAGGTTCAAGGGGCTGCTCAGAGGCCGTCCTCATCACAATCAGACAAATGAAGTGAGCTCACAGTTTCATAGAAGGGCTACATCCTGAGACAAAGATTATGGTAGATGTTGCAGCTGGAGGTCAAGTGTTATAGAAAAGCTTCGATGAGATATATGCATTATTGAACAAATTCTCCAAAAGCAATCTTGATTGGCAATGAGAGATGGGTAGACACACAATGCAAAAATCTGCAGGGGTTCTCGAGTTAGATGTCGTCTCTGCATTATCAGCGCAAATTTCCACATTGACCAACCAAGTCAATCAGATTACCTTGGTTATTAACACACAACAAGCCCAACCAGTGCAACAAGTTCAAATATTTTGTGAAGTATGTGGAAAGGGTCACATGAGTGACCTATGCCCAGTTAATCTAGAGTCTGTCTATTTTGTGGGTAATGCAAATAGGGGTCAGACAAATCAGTATGGGAACACTTACAATCCTAACTGGAGGAACCACCCAAACTTCTCTTGGGGTGGAAACCAAGGTTCTCAGAATAAGTACAGGCCACAAGCGCCTCAAGAGAAATATAGACTACCTCAGGCTGAACAATTTGCAAACCCAACGAGTCACTTTGAGAAGATGATGAAGAAATTAATGATTGACCAGCAGGCCCAAGCAGCAATGATGAGAAATTTGGAGCGACAAATGGACAACTTACTAGTGCTCAAAATACTCGACCAGTTGGAGCTCTTCCAAGCGACACTGAGGCTAATCATAAAGCATCTATTAATGCTGCGTCATTAAGGAATGGGAGACAGTTAGAAGAAGTCTAGTCGAAAAAGAGAAAACAAGTGATCTTTTATGAGAAACCGACCACCATAGAGGCAGAATCGGAAAAATCAAAGGAGTCAAAAAAGCTAGATGAAGAGGCGGTGGCTAAGCAACCCCAACCATTAGTTGCGAGGCCACCACCTTCGTTCCCTCAGAGATTGCAGAAAGTGAAGGATAATGCCACTTATAAAAAGTTTCTTGATATTCTAAAGCAGGTGCAAATCAACATTCCACTGGTAGACATCCTGCAAGAAGTGCCCAAATATGCCAAATAGATCAAGGACATAGTGGTAAATAAGAGGATGTTGACAAAGTTTGAAACCGTGGTACTCGCTGAAGAATGTAGCTCATGAATCCAAAGCAAGCTACCTTAAAAATTAAAGGATCCAGGTAGTTTCACTATCCAAATCTCGATTGGTAAGCATGCAGTCGGGCGAGCTTTGTGTGATCTTGGAGAGAGCATCAATTTGATGCCGCTATCTGTGTTCATACAATTGGGGTTGGGTGAGCTGCGCCCAACCACGATAATTTTACAGTTGGCTGATCGCTCCCTTGCTCATCCTAAAGGAGTGATTAAAGATGTGTTAGTTCAAGTGGGTTCTTTCATATTCCTTACTGATTTCATTATCTTGGACCTTGAGCTTGATCAGGAAGTCACATTTATTTTGGAGCGTCCATTCTTAGACACAGACCGAGCTATTATTGATGTATGTGAAGGAAAGACGACGATGAGAGTAGGTGATCGAGTGGAGGTATTAAATGTGTATAAATCACTCAGATTTCCAACCGATTATGAAGAGCTATCCATGATTTCTGTGGTGGAAGGTGATGTGACGTCATTGGTGCCTTATGAGCCCCATAAATCCCCTTTAACAATCCTTGATTGGGGATGAAGAAGACAGTGAAGATGAGATAATGGATGAAATTGAGCAAGTACTTGACATGTTTTGCAATTATGTCCATGGGTTTGGGTAATTTGAGGAGTTGGACATGCCCGTCACTCTAACCCCTCATAGGCTATCTATTGAAGAAGCTCCAAAGCTAGAACTCTTAAGCCCCTTCGAACGTATCTGTGCTATGATTATTTGGGGAACTCTAAGACACTGCCAGTGATTATCTCATCCAGCTTGACTAATGTACAAGAAGAAAAATTGCTCAGAGTACTTCACGAGCATAATAAGGCTATTGAGTGGACAATTGCTGACATCAAAGAAATCAGTCCATTATTTTGCATGCATAAAATCTTTCTGGAAGATGGACACAACCCCAGTTTTGAGAAACAAAGGGGATTAAATCCCATTATGAAAGAGGTCGTGAAGAAGGAAGTAATTAAGTGGCTCGATGCATGTATCATCTTTCCTATCTCTGATAGTAACTGGGTAAGCCAGTGCAATGTGTTCCCAAAAGAGGGGATGACTGTGGTAGAGAATGAGATAATTCCTACTTGCACCGTGACGGGGTGAAGAGTTTGTATTGATTACAGAAGGCTCAACAAAGCAACCCGCAAGGACCACTTCCCACTTCCATTCATTGACCAAATGTCGGACAGATTGGCGAGGCATGGATATTATTGCTTCCTTGATGGTTATTCGGGGTACAACTAGATTGTCATATGCCTGAAGGATCAGGAGAAGACCACTTTTACTTGTCCTCATGGCACTTTCGCTTTCAAGTGAATATCGTTTGGTCTTTGTAATGCACCAACCACTTTCCAGAGGTGCATGATGGCTATTTTCACCGATATGGTGGAAAAGTTTGTTGAAGTCTTCATGGATGACTTTTCAGTCTTTCGGTCTTCTTATGATGATTGTTTGAAGAATTTGAGCAAGGTGTTGGCCCGTTGTAAAGAAATATATTTGGTGTTAAATTGGGAAAAATATCATTTTAT